CTGGAATTCCATATCCTCACTTAGTTCAAAATTTAAAATAGTTGTTAGAAATCCTACCTTCTAGTCATTTTAAAGTAATCTGACTGGAAATTCACAAAATGACATTTATTATCCAGAATAAAAATAATATCATGGGTAAGTTTAAAGTGTAGAACATTTAACATGGAAATAATTAGGTAAAACATATATGTATTTAACAGTACTAGTCTGTAGTACGTATCCACTGAAGTGATTTTATATTTGCCAAAGCTTTTGTTAAAGTCTTGAAAACACTGATTAGTTGGATATAAACTAATCAATCTGAATACTGTGTTACTGGCCAAATTTGTTTAGCATATGAGATGAACATTAAAGTATAGTGAAGTAAACATTTTAATTAAACAAACATTTATTTCTCTGATTATCATTGATCAGCTTCAGCAACATTTACTCAGTATGATGTTCTGATTTAGCCACTAACATATTTTATTTATTTCTAATTTAGTTACATTCATCAAAAAATTCAAGTCAGTTAAATAATTCAGTTCTACTAAGCAAGTTTGATAGCCACAGCTTAATCTAAGGATTAAAATGGTCAAAAATGATTTCCTGGAAAGCTACTATTTTTTCCTATGATACATCAAATCCATGAGATTTTTATGTAGTTAACATGTATCATTTTTTTGTGAATTCAGCAAGAGTTACCTGAGAGAATCATACGTGCCTAAATTGCCCCAGTATCCACTTATATAATCACTGTTTTTTTGTATTTATTTTGATGACAATTTTTTATGATTTTTAAATGAGAAAAAATATTTTTATCAATTTTCCTTCTGAACATTACCTCTAAAATGTAATGATTATCAGTGAAATAGCCATGATGGTGGATTGTGTCTTTCTGTTCACTGCAGTAGTGCTCGCCATTGACTGCCCCATCGGAGATTTTTGACCTGAGTATAGCCAAGGAATCTAATATTTGGCAAAGTTGAGAAACAGTAGAAAATGCTGCACAAGATCAGTGAATTTCAAACAGTCTTCTTAGATTCCAATTCACTTCAGTGAATTATTTTGTGTATTCTTTTTAAGCAGTTTACACAGTTTAAAAAGATCTCTTTTTCTGGTCCTAGATTATCTAGATAATTGCCTTAAATCACTACCCAACCCCCACCTGCACATACTACCCTGACTATAAAAGCATGAGAACTATTACTTATTTCTAAAGTCTGTTACACTATTATTCCAATGAAAAATTGAATATATTTTTTAAGGAGAGAACAGTAATTTATCTATGAAGTGAAATAATACTAGCAGATCATTAACTTCTTACAATGAATGCATCAAGCAGCTGTTACTTAGAAAATAGAACATCTGTTAAATGCCATTGGAGTTAGTACTCACTGTCATTATAGTTATAGCTATAATTTCAGTTCTGCACATTCTGCTTTCATGAAATCATTCTTTAATAGATGATGCATTATTAATAAAAAGTCAATATACATTACTATAAAATCCACTGTTTAATGTTTTATATTCTTTATTAATTTATCATTGTATTATTCTGTCACATTAGCCTAATAGTCAAATGTACTAAACTTCTGCCAGGATCAAATAATGTAGGTACCTAAAAAAGCAACTAAATATCAAATTGCATCTTATTTAAGGCATGCTAGGTTCGAGGTCCAACACTGTGGGCTGACAGTTTAGATTCCTGTCTGTGATGGCAGTATCCCATAGGTGCCAATTCAAGTCCTGACTGCTACTTTTCCAATCGGGTTCCCTGTTAATGTGCCTGGAAAAGCAGCAGAGGATGGAGCAAGTACTTGGGTCCCCACAATCTGTTGGAGACCCTGAAGAAGCTCTTGGCTCTTACCTTTAGACTGCCCCAATCCTAATCTTTACAGCCATTTGAGTAGGGAACCCAGCGAATGGATTTTTCTCTGTCTTTCCTCTGTAACTGTTTTTCAAATAAATACAGTATAAATCTTAAAACAAACTAGATTGTAGGACACCCCATTGAACTGGCTACAGATACTGCTGATCGAAGAATATCACCATTGCTTTGGAATTAAATATATAGTGCAGGTTTAACTGAAAAAAATAAAGCTTGTGAAAATACGAAATGAGTGGGAGACAGAGTCAAACCGAAGGAGGCTAAATTAAGAGGATGTTTCAGTCATGAGATTGTATGATCAGCAGAGACAAAGCAATGTTCTGTCATGTGTCTACATGGGTGAAGTAAGCCGCAGAATTGACAGCTGTAATTCTTTACATGAGGTACCATTTAAAATCTCTACAATCTGTTTACTGTGTGTTGTATAAGGAATGAATCAATGTGTAGCCTTCCTTTCCATGAATACAAGGTATGCCTTCACTAGAGGCAATTAGTCCATTCCAGGCTTTCATAATAAGTAACTTGATGTAACATTTGCAAATTAATAGCAAATGTTTTATTTAAAATCAGGAAGGCCAGTGTTCAGTGTATATATCATCCTGGAACTATCAAATATTGCAAAGTAAGCATATGGAAAATAATCTGATTCAAATTTGTATTTGACTTAAGTTCTTATGTGAGACATTTTTCCTATGTCATCAAACTCTAGAGGTAATTAGGTATATTTCACGTTAATCACTACTTGAGTCTCCTAAAAATAGACTTATGATCATGTCATAGATCAAAATACTGCAACCTAAAAAATTATTAGAAACTTGTGCATTACTCCCTTTAACTGAATGAAATATCATTGAATAGTAAAACTTTTCTCTTGAAAATATACTGGAGTATTTTTCGCAGATAATTGACATAAAATAGTTGCCTGTGATCCAGGAATTTTGTAAAAGAGTATTTGCTAAAAGGAAAACTTCCTCTAATCTCTTTTGGACTTTGGAAATTTCCATTACCTTTCACTGCATTTTCTGACACATAAAAGAATCCCAAAGATCCAGGTATACAATAAGGGTTTTATTAATGCACAAAATAATGTAACCTTTTATGGAAAAGAGAGAGAGAGAGAGAGAGAGATCTTGTACCATTGGTTTATACACCAAATGCCTGGCATAGCCACTGCTGGGCCAGGACAAAGGCTGTAACAAGAACTTTTATCTAAGTCTACCATATTGGTGGCAAGAACTCAGTGCTTGAGCCATCATCTTCTGCCTCTCAGACACATTAGCTGGGACATGGATTAGAATATCAGTACAGCAGTTGATCACAGGCAGTACAAACAGGGATGTGAGTGTCCCACGAGACACCTTAACCTGCTGTGCAATAGCATCCCGTGTATAGTATAATCTTTATAGGGACACTGTCCAACATATGTTGTGGTTTGAAAATACATTAGGTTTAGACATAGAGGGAGGTATTACCTTTGAGAATAAGTCAACTGGCATTACAAGTCATAGTCTAATATTAAAGAAGTGGACAATATTTATTTAAACTTACTTTAATATCTTTGACAAACCAGGTTAAACTTTCATAGGATAGGGTGTTTCTCTATTACTGTATGCACATCATCTACAATGTAGGTCAGAAACTGTGGTCATAAATTGTAAATGATATACATTGGTGGAGATGAAGAACAGAAGGTGTTGAAATCTAGTCCTTGTCCATTTTCAAGCCAAGTTCGAAAAAGGTTGTTCCTACGCAAAGAAAATTTTTCCCATAATTTCCCAAAAACTCATTGTGTAGAATATCCTATAACCTTATGCCAAGAGCTTCTGAGGTCTAGTAGAAGCTTAGTAAGTATTTGTACCTGCTTGCAATATGAGTACTTTTGATAAATTTCTAAGCTCAACCATGTGTAGCAAATGACACCAATATTACAGCTATCCCTCTGCTGAGAAGGTAATTTAATTTGACATTAAACGCCTTGTTTCTAATATATGTATATTAGAAAAGGAAAACTTTCAAAATTGAGAATTGAAGAAACAGTGATTCTTATACAAAGTTCTTTTCCTGAAGTCTTTTTAAAACCATGTGTATTCTCCCTATGTGTTTGTCATCAAAAGCAAGAGCAAAAACAAATTATAAATTGAAATGAGAATGTGCCATTGTAAGAATTAGAAGAAAAGAGAGATGGAAGGAATGTTGCTGGGGAGTAGGGACAGGGGTATGACAGAGCGGAAAGGATCACTATGCTGTTAAATCTGTAATGCAAAATACATGAATAATTCTACTTTACATAAATATACAGAATAAAAACGTAAATCTTAAGAAATGATAGGTCTCTTGTATGAGATTTTAACATGGGTTATATGGATAGAATTGTAGTCTGTGAACTTGTGTTGGAAAGATAGGACTTTATTTTTTCACATATAACTGAAACCAAGCTTTATTGTTTGTTACTACAAATATGAAAAACAAACTCCAATATCAGCAGCAAATCTGACATGGTCAGCAACAGAAATTACACATATTTTTATATCACATTCCAGTCTTTGGAATATACACAGCACGCAAATTGTCAGGTATTTTCATAACTACTGTGAAATTATCCTGTTTAATTACCTGTTAATAATTAAGACCTTGTAGTTAATGCAATGGGAAACAAAACATGTATTACTGTATTGAAAGTTTTAACAAGTATGTGTAATATAGTTTTACTTTGTTGGTTTTATTTAAAACCATATGTATTTTATTTTCATCTGATTGTTTCATCAGATGCCAAAGCAATCCATGATACCAGAAACAAGATTTTCTGTATTAGATTTACAGTGATCCCACACCTACTGAGTTTTTAAAAAGCAAGAGTGTCTACCTTGAATTGTTATATATGCAGATTAAGTAAAAATAAATATATTCAGTTAGACCTTATATGTTTACCAACAAAGTTTATATAATGTTTGATAAATAATAAATTAACCACATTTATATGCACAGAAATGAAACTGCAATTTATGTTGTTTGATTTTTATGGTTCACAAACATATGGTTATAGATTTAAGCCTTTGTAAAAATCTTGTATGCATGACCATATACTCAGCCCTTTCATGAGCTTTGTATTTCAGTGCTATTCTTTTCACAGGCTATTCAGAAAGAAGTAGAAAAACAGAAGGTTCACTTGAAGAGTGTCACAGAACTAGGAGAAGCTTTGAAAGCGGTTCTGGGCAAGAAGGAGACCTTGGTGGAAGATAAACTCAGTCTTCTGAATAGTAACTGGGTAGCTGTCACTTCTCGAGCAGAAGAGTGGCTCAATCTTCTGATGGTAAGAGAAGAGGTGGAAGCCATTCTGTTCCTCTCTATGTTGAGAAAGAATACCTAAGCATACGTAAGCATTCAGTGAAATCATATTTGAAAACAGTTCATCTACACTTAGCCTCTACTCCTAAGTCGTTGTCCACCACTATGTTTTAATGTATTTTTTCCTCCAGATCTGTGCTGTTATTTTATGTGAGCCTTTTAGTTGCCAGAGATATAAATAATGATACTCAAGTATATTATTGTCTTTTGGTAAAACAGTAGGGGAAAAAAATCCTTTGAGAAAATGGCCAAACCCATTAAATCATGACGTGTCTCTATCCACTTAAGGAATACCAGAAACACATGGAGAACTTTGACCAGAATGTAGATCACATCACCAAGTGGATCATTCAGGCTGATACACTTCTGGATGAATCTGAGAAAAAGAAACCACAACAAAGAGAAGACATACTTAAGGTAGCAAATAAAATATGAAAGTAATTTTCAAAGAGTACACCTGCTGTGTCAATCATCTATGTCCTAAAAGATATGAAGGACTTTTTAATACAAGTGAAGTAATACCTTCTCTCTTACTCTGCCTGATTTTCTGTCCTTTTTTCTTCTTCTTTTTTTATGTGAATTAATGACCTTTAGAAGTTCTGAAATGATTATCTGTCCAAATCCACCTCTCAGTTAATTATATTCCATTTAAACTCTACTCAAAATGAAGTTACAGGATTTATATACATATCATTTTGGAAAATCCTGCCCACTGTAATGGTAGTAGAGTTGATCCTGTGTCTAACCCGAAGAACTTTCCAACCACCATTCCTACAGCCTCTCTGAGTAAATACAGAAATATTGTCATGTGGATTTTTTGTAATGAAATACTCAAAATCTTATTACAGGTCTCTCACTAAAATTTTGAAATTTGAATGATTCAAAATCCTAAAACATTTTAATCTCTTTTATGATGCCACAAGTAGAAAATTTCACAACATGAAGCTGTTTCATGTACTACATTATTAAAGAGGTAGTATAAAATGATCATCATTTTATGTGTATAAGATAGTTAACATAAATGAATTCCATGTCTAGATTTGGGTCCCACTCTCAAGAAATGTCAGTGTATATATGCTAATGTATCAAAATCTAAAACTACCCAGCTAAAACCTTCCCCACCCCAAACATTTTTTGATGAGATATTTAATCTAAAATATTCATAGTGTACGAATTGTGTAATGTTTAGCTTTCTTTTTCTTTTAAACTGTGTATAAAATAAACATGACCCTAAATTCTCTTTTTTTTCTATTGAACCTAATTATTAGTCCATCTTAAGATTTCTTTCTGAATGTGAAGCATATAATATATAAATATGATGTATCAATTTAACATTGTCTCTGTTTTATGGCATCTGTTTTTTCAACTACATGCAGTTGAATTTTAGCAAATAACATTTAATATTTCCCCATTGTTTTGCTGAAATTTTCATCAAGATTTTACCCATGAATGGCTAGTTAGGGAACATGGAAAAAGCATAGTTTCTGAATATACATTTTTTGTTTTTATGCCACTGATACTGTCTCCATATTTTAATTTATTTTCATTGAAAACTGTAGGTTGCATACATGTAAGCAGATTCCCAAAACGTGCTAATCTACTGTCTGCACCTTACCCAAATGTGGATCTCTATCGTGATCTAAATTCTACCTTGATGTGTAGTCAGTCATCAACTTAGGGTAAATTTTCTCAGGGTTTTTGAAATAAGAGTTAACTTGCAGTCCTTTCACTTCTTGAGTCAGGAAGAACATTCCTCATATAATATATGTGATTTGGTATCGTTCTGTATTGGAAAATGAGATTTTTTTCCCTGACATGCGATGTAGTAAACAAATAGGAACTCCAAAGTACCAAAAGTATTTAAAAATGCCCTTTGGGTCCTTGCTTCTAGAGCACATTAACCTTCTTCCACAACTATTAGATTCAGTGCAGACTAGATCACATAGATGCAGTAACAGATATAATTATTATTCAGACAGGATAGAGAAGTTTGGAAAGCACCACATTTTCTTCCTTGGGCCAAATAAAAACTATACACTGAACTACATCAGGCTAAAGAAGAGTGACCCGGTTACTAAGGTCATAGATATTATCAGCCCTGTTTTACAGTGGTTGAGTTTTTGCCTCCTTTTTTCCAATTCGGAATGTACTTCTTTCTTTCATCCCCCACCTCTATCTCTAGTCTCTCTGTCTCTCTCTGTCTCTCTGTTTCTCAAATTTAAGTACTAACTTCAAGCCCTGTTTCTTGCTCATGGAATCTAGCGCTTAAAGGCTGAAATGAATGACATACGCCCAAAGGTGGACTCCATTCGTGATCAAGCAGCAAACTTGATGGCAAACCGAGGTGACCACTGCAGGAAAGTAGTAGAACCTAAAATCTCAGAGCTCAACCATCGATTTGCAGCCATTTCTCACAGAATTAAGACTGGAAAGGTAGGAAGATCTACCCCGAGGTGGAAACTAGTGCTAAATGGTATCTTAAGAAGGTTTCGCAGTACGCTGAAAGGGGCAGGCAGTCCCCACAGCAAGATGTTCAAAAGAAAAATGAAGGCACAAATGTATTTAAGGAAATGTTATCACTAACTATCATGTGAGATGCATCAGTCTCACTCTTGATCTTTCTCCTTGTCTCTGTCCCTGTCTCTAATACTTTTTCCTGCCACAGCTTTTCTAGAATTGCACTCTTCACTGGTTTACATCTGTACTTTCGGGGGCTTCCTATAACAAAGTAACAATTACCATGCCTGCGGTGCCCTCCCTCCTAAAAAGCACAAAAGATATCTATGTACAGAGAGCAATTCTGATATATTTTGCCCTATATAATATTGTTTGTGTGTAATGTAAGTCACATACACAATGAAAACTTGTACATTGCCTGCATGATCTGGGTGTTTGCACGTCTTTTCTGGTTGTGCACATGTATGTTTAACCTGCTCTTGCTTGTTCCAGACATTGACAGAATCCATTAAGCTATAATAAAATGCTCAAGTTATGGAAACAAATAATGGCAAAGCTCATATATCATAATTTTTGTAATTTGATGTGCCTATTTATTCCATTTATTGAGTAACTATCATCTATAAAATATTTGCATGAGAGCCTTTATATTGTGTAATAGTTCATGAAGATGACATCTTAGCTAAGAAGTAGTTTAAAATATCTATGTATGTGCATGTTTTATTTTATTTCATAATATTGAACCATAAGATTTCAACTCTGGGGGAAATAAGAAATGCAAGCGGTTATGCTAGAAATGCTACAGTGTATGTAGTTTTATGTGTTTTCCAATGTATATGATATGTTTTCAAATGTTTAAATGTAGATATAGCAAATATATGTATTTAGGTACATGGATAACAACTAGAAGCAATCTAGAATCAGAAAATCCACTTGAAACATTTGCTAATATATATGATGCAAGTTATCAGGTAAGTATTGCATCCCAAAAAATATGAGAATGCATTAACAATATTTTGATAAATATGATCACATAATATCATAGTGCCACATTTGGATATGCTTACTAAGGTATTATAATCTATAGTGTTGTTATATATGATAACATGTGCTTTTATGACAGTAATACAGTGAATCCTAAGTGCTGACTGCATATGAAATGCATGTATACCTATATGCAGTTACATTTCAAGTCTCACTTTCCATTGTTAGTTTATCATAAACCCTTGCTGCTTAGTTATAATAGGTACCTACTTAGTTTTACTGATATATGTGTATATATATATACATATATATGTAAGTATATCATTATCATCTGCAAAAATCTGGCAAGTTCTGAAACTTGAGTTTCAGAGTATAACCATTCCTTAGAAATTAACTATGCAACTTAAAAAGATGATTGTATTTTACATCTTCAAATGTTAATGGATTGTATGATAACTAATTAAAGAAAATGTGTTCCCTACTATTTTATTGCTAAGTTTTATATTCTCATCTTAAAGACACCTTTTTGGCTTTAAATCACTGAACTATTGCATATTGAAGAAAACTCAAGATATTGTTCTGGGATTAATTATACTACAAGATTGGTACTACTCAAAAATGGGACTAATTCATCTTCCACCATAGCAGTAATAATACTAGCCAGCAAAAGTTTGTGGCTCTTACAAGACAGTGAGTTTTCATCTGTATTCTGCATATATTTGTGTGTATACTTCCAGAAATCATGCATCAAGGGTGGCATTCGTCTTATTTTATCTTCCCTGCTGAAGCAAAACATAAGTCAACTGAAATCAATATTTCCAAATACATTTAAAAATGACAGAATAATCATATTTCTAATTTTCCTAGTGTTTTCTTTTTTTCTGATTTAGCAGACTACTAGATATATCAATAATGCCGTATTACGAGGTCTGACAAGAATATGGTGCTGCAGCCTCATCAGGGAGCCCAGATCACAGAAATAAAGCATAGCTTGTTTCTTTATTGAAAAGGAATATTGAGGATATATTAAGGATATTGAGGAATATTAAGGATTTTGAACTTCCATACATACAAGGATATGAGGATGATAGCTTGAGAAATAAAGATAGTAATATACTTACTGTAGTCACAACATTTTTAAGATTAGTATGTATTTGGGAGATATTCGGTTAACAGTGAGATAATTGTTACAGATAGAAAACTGGCCTTAGTGGACTAGCTACCAGGCCTTGCTTTGTCAGTAGGAGTTAGAAAATGTGGTTTCTCCTTATATTCATTTCAATCTTTATAGTACCTTAGTGGATTTTTTAAATGGAAGCTACTCCTTCAATGGCAATGTAAGTAACAAGAGTTTTGCCAAATGGAGAGTATAAAATAGAAAATAGCAAGATCACTAAAAAGGAAGTATTTTCTGCTTGATTTATCTGTTTATGATTTTTTCAGGAAGTACAAAAATGTCCATGGAGCAAAGTGTAAATTTATGGATTAGATTATTTCAACAGTCCACACTAGCTCTACAGATTGACAGACTGGTCTTCTTTTGTTGATACAGTGAGGAATTTAAGATATTTAATGGCTTATAACTGCATTAGGGAGTAGGGCAATTTCTGGAAAATACTGCAAGTATTATGAATGGCCTTTAATTTCAGAATCGCCCACCATTTTAGGAGTTTTTATATAGAATAAAAATTAGTTTGGAATATGACCTTTCCATGGTTGAATATGTAGGTAGGTTTTATGAGGGAGAATATCCTGAAGGAAAATAGAATTATTTGGTGTAAAGACCAAGATTAGCCCTTTAAGGATCAGCTAGAAGTAGAGCAAAAAATTTATCTTGCTTGAAAACTCACTGATAACTCTTATATTTACTATTTGGTAAATGCAGTTTGTGTTACTGCCTTATTTCTTGTAAAGTACATTCATGACAAGAATTCTAAAATCCAGAAAAGCAATGAGCACAGGGATCGTTGGGTTTAAGTAAGCTTATGATTTGTTCATCAAAGTATAGCTTTCTTTAGTGATAATTTTTGCTATCTTGGAACAGCAGTAAGATGAAAAGGAGAAGTTCTTAACGCTACAAAATTTGCTTTGAGAAGTAGATACACAAATTACTAGTATGGCAAGTTTCATTTGTAAAATTAGGCAGATAATGCCTGTGTCTTAAAATTGCTTTCAGGATCAATTTAAGTTATTTGAAAACACATTTAGAAAAGCTATTTGTGTATGAGATGTGAAGGCATAGTATCATTGATTGTCTCCTTAGATAAATTGTACCTAAGTGACCAAATTGTTACTCTTGAGGCCAAACTGACTCATAAAAAAAAGAAATGGATTACTACTGATTTACACTTCTGACTTCCCTTCCAATGAATGGAAGCTAAAAAGACATTTCTTTACTATTTCTCTGGCAAGTACCATCATTGTAGTGAATCAAATAGGAATATTTCAAGGAGCATTAGGAAGTTTTGCTTGGTACAAATACATCCTTTAAAATATATGAAATGATAATGCTTACCATTATATTTTAAGAGTATCCAGTGACTTTGAGAAAGCTTAATATTTTTTATTCTGTGTGAAGTAAGTAGGAGGGAATAATGTGAGTCAGAACAAATGAAGAAGGATTTGATGTTTTGTATGAATATGCTATGAACTCTCAACAACAACATACTATTTCCAAATTGCAGGGTTTCTCTTTGAAGGCGCTTGATTACAGGACAAGATATGATAGGTTCAACATCATGCTTTATTGGTAGAGCAAGTTTATTTCATGGATATTGGTTGAGAGAGAGGGCATCATAAGCAAATTGAGAAGCCTGTGATAAATAAACCTGTGACATGTCATGATAAACCTATGACAAAGTACAAAATGGTATTGGGTGTTAAATGGAAAATAAATTAAATTTTTCTTACAAAATTGAGAACATTCAGTATGAAGCTGGATGATAAGGCTGAAGAGGGTGGGTAGATACAGCATAGAAAGATCATGACACACTTTAATCTTTTATTTTCATTCAGTAACCAATGGGAGTGGAGGGTTTGATGATTTTTGATGTATCCATTGTTGAAAGATTAGTCCAAGGATGATTATATAGAAAATGTAACTGAATAGTGGCAGAATGTAGAGAAACCAGTTATCCAAAAGATAACTACTAGAATCGAAAGAAAGAGTCCCTTTAGGGCACTGGTTCTAAGTAGTTTTGTATAATTGGAGGAATGATGTCATTTCTGACTCCCGTATCAGCTAATCATGAGTTGATCTGTTACAGAGTCTAAGAATGCACAAGTCTAATAATATATAGATGACATTGATGGAACTGATCCAGGGACCACATTTATAAAAACTAATGATCAGAGCATCAAAAAATAGCAGAGTTAAATTATCAAATCAGAGGGCCAAGATGATGAACTCAAAAGCAACTCAGAGTGCAAAGCTGATTTGAGTGGGAAAGTCTATATTTGAATTTCAATGATAAAATATACATAAAGACATTTTTGTATTATTAGAATTAATTTCAACAGATTTTTGACTAAAGAAATTACTTTTGTCATGTTATTGGAGATTCTACTCACTAAAAATATGAAATTTATACATGCAAAGTGCTTAATGTGGCTATTCTTTTCTAAAAATGTTCAAAACGTGTTGTGTAAGGAGCTGACATGTTAAGCTATTGACCCTGAAATTCATATAAACTGCCAGAAAAGAGAAATTTTCTATTTTCCTTAATTATTTGTAGGATAGATTGATTGTATGTGTGTTGACAAGTCTTATTTAATATCATGCAGCAGTTTCTGTACTAAGTGTTTTGTTACAGTAATACTAGATTGGGACAATCTTGTGTCATGTATTTAAGTATTCATGTTTTAGTTGCTGTAATAATTATAAAGTCCTGTGTTTTGATCTCAAGTTAATGCCAGCAGGTAAAATGTTATCACTCTTTGTATCTAAGACTTTCCAATGCTGCTGGGGCTATAAGAAATCTAGTGAGTGTCCT